CAAGTTGAATTCCACCCCCACCTCATTACGTATTCTCTCAGCCAGGAAATTAGATCCTTTTCTGCTCAAGTGAAGCCCATCTCTTCTGAACAGCTTTCTCCTTTCCCAAAAGCAATCCCAATGTCCTGAAAATTTAAACCTCTCCTTTCTACACCATCCCTCAAGCCATGCATTTACTCCCTTGATCTGCTTTTGCCTAAATGGTGAAACTCATGGCACAGGGAGTATTTCTGAGATTATTGCCCTGGAGGTGCTGTGTTTCAACCTACTCCTGAACTCCTGAAACTGATCCTGCAAGTTCTCCATGCTATCCCTCCCTCTGTCATTGGTTCCCGCATGGACCACAACCATTGGTTGTTCACGCTTCCCTTCCCATAGTTTATCCAGCTGGTACATTATGTACCGGATCCTTGCACCCGGGAAACTGCAGACTATACAGGACTCATGATCTCGGCTGTTAATTACTCTATCTATTCCTCAAACTATCGAATCACCCACCACCACTAATCCTTATTAATCTGCCTTCCAGCCTCATTATCTGATCTGTTATAGCAAGAGTTTTCTTGTGCAAGTTCAAAAAAAACTGAGGGATTATTATGGCATGTTTGATTTTTACACAAACAGCTACAGAACTTTCAGATTGTGGAATTGATATTTGGTTCCATTATAAAAATTGTAGTCCCACTATATTAGAAAAAAATGTAGAACTGACAGCAGAGAGTGAGGGAAGCTTGCTTAACTGTACAGTTCAGGAGTGTCAGACTCAGGCAGCTTGCATATTCAGTGAAGGGAAAAATTCATTTTCTGGTTGTTGGCTGGTAACAATCTTTCAACAGAAGCCTGGTGCCTTCAGCAGAGGAGAAATTATCAAGCTGTGAGTTTCAATCAGTGATGTCTACAACAGGAACTACTGTCACCACTGGTTTGGAAAAGGACACTGAGATCTTCCAGTTTTCGTTTCTAGCTCTAAGGACTAAGCTCTATAGCTCTATAGAAGGGAAGGACGTTTTTCAGGATATTCCAATGCACTTTATAGCCATGAAAACAGTCTTGAGATATTGTTACCGTTCGAAAGGAAATAGGGCAATCATTTCAGATTGGGCTCCCGGTCAGCATCCTGTAAATGCAAGCTGGAAGGGAACTTTTGCATGAAGACAGAACATAGATACGTACCCAATGTGACACTGATGTGGAATTAGGAGCAGACATCATAGAACAATTGTCACACACTGAATTTAAATGTTCCTTTTTACTGCCTGTGATCAATATGTTTGTGTGTAAGAAATGTTTATTTCCTTATCCCCAGAGTCAATGTCCCAATTAAATAATTTCACTAGTAAGCATTCTGTGAGCTGTAAAACAAAATGGTCATTTATTATTATATTCTCACAGCAGATTTTAAACACACAATGTCTCATTCAATTAACTCATAAGCGCATGAAAGGGTTAAATGCAGACGAGGGTAAACCAAAAAGTTTATAACTAGCTCTGTCTCTTTCATGGCAGGCATGTAGTTTCTTAGATGAATGTGACACTTTAAAGTTGATGTAAAAATCTTCTAAAATTAAGGATTCTCCACATTCTGAAAGATTTCTTATAGATGAATTTCAATGAGGTTGACCTTCAAGTGAACTTGAATTTAGATGTTTGGTTAGGGGAATAAGTTTTGCTACTGTATTAGGATCACCCACTTTCAAGGTAAAGCTGTTTATTACCTTTCCAAGTTGTATAACATGCAGCTGGTTCAATGGCTTTGAGCAGAGATCTTCATCTCTACATGCAGCTTCTTGTTTGGTTGAAAAACACAAAATTGTTGCCTCATCATGTGATCTCCATAAGTTCAAAGTCTTTCGTCCAAACAAAAGGTGATGTGTGCACAGGTTCTAGTTATCCTGTGCTGTCATTTGATTCACCCAGCCTGGTTTGGATGGGGAAAGACATAATAATACAACAGAAGGCCAATGGGATCCATTCACATATGTCTTATATACCTTGAGGTTTGTTGTATCTTTTAGTCCAGGATATAAAAAAGTGACAGACAGCTGGAAATCTAAAGTTCTTTTGTTGATCATCTGTCCTTCAGCAGAGGGATTTCTCAGATGTCTCTGAATGTGATTTAGTGAGGGAATTCCTTTAGACTGAGGAATGTATGCAATACAAAATACCAAAATGCTAAATGCCACATAGAAACAATGAAAACAGGAGCAGGAGTAGAATTCGGACTTCAAAACTGCTCTTCCATTCAATACGATCATGGGCTGATCATCCAACTCAGTGAGAACCTGTTCTCACTTTCTGCCCATATCCTTTGAACACTTTAGCTCTAAAAAAAACTATATAACTAACTCCTTTCTTGAAAACATTTAATGTTTTGATATTAACCGCTTTCTGTGACAGAGAAGTCCACAGGCTCACCACTCACTAGGTGAAGAAATTTCTTCTGATCTCACACTTAAATTGACTACCCCTTATCGTTAAACTTTGACCTGTGAATTGGTTTGCAGTTGCCATTCTATTAGTCTGGTCTACTTTTAAAAGTATTGACTGAAATTTAGGAGATACTCAAACAGGGCATGATAAACAGTAGAGATAACAAGGTGTAGAGCTGGATGAACACAGCACCTTAAGGAGAAACAGAGGACCAGGAAAGCCGACGCCTTGTTATCTCTACTGTTTATCATGC